ATGAGCAAATTGCCGCTTTGTTCCCTGAAATTTTGCAAACTTATACAGTAAGTACAGCCTTATTTTTGAAAAATAGACACTCTTGTCTTAAAATTTAAACTATGCTGTTTTTCTATTGATATAAATACATAATTTTCTATTCACATCCCATCATTGTGATCAACTCAAGCAAGTAGATGTGATCATTAACAACTCTTTCATCTGGGGTCAAATTTATACTTAACACAATGTGAAAAGAGAACTCATAGGCAAATCAAATCTCCAGAACAAAATACAAAATTAAAAATTCTGATTTGCTACAATTGATACTTCTCTTATTAATAGTTAATAAATAATGATCAGCTTAAAGCTAGTTAAGTTGAATGAAAGTAAAAAGCTTTTTTTTTTTCCGACTCATTTAAATATAATATGACCAAGTAGAATGATAAAAATGGAAATGTATAGACTCTCGCAAACTGCATGGTTTTTAATTCTTAAATGAAAATTCAAACTATATTAAAGTCAACGAAAAATATTTTAGTAAAAAAAATTAAAATCAATATAATGTCAAATTTATAAAAGATCACATTATTTATAAAACGATGAACTATGTATAAATTGAAGGGATGGATCTAGAAATAGAAATTCATTCAAGGGAGGGCCAACATTAATTTGAACATATTTTACAAACAAAAAATAAAACTTTTTAATAGAAACTTTGTAGTACTTGCCACCGTGGATTCATCCCTGATGACCTGTTTCAAATTTTTTTTTTTTTTTTAAAGAAGAACAGGACACTGGAGTACTGGAGTCAGACTGATAAGGCATAGTATGGGGGAGACTTTGAAAATAGAGGGAAATTTCGGGGGGAGGGGTAATTTAACCAAAAACAAGGGACAAAAGTTGTGTTGACTCCAAAATCACAGCTTGGTTGCTGTGCTTTCCTTGTGGAGGCGGCCGAGCCTTTATTCTTTTATAATTTAGTAGTTTCTGGTCTTTTGCTTTTCTTCTCAGAGTCGATGACAGCATGTCATGTGAGATTACAAAAATATACAAGGTGGTCGGTAACAGTGATGGCCACGTCAATGCATTCCCATATTTATATCTTGATTTATAAAAGCATGTTTATTGATTCACCCTTAAACCCAGCTTCAAAAGCAAGACAGTCTCACTCTCTAGACTCCGGAGGAGCGTGATCCTGAGGGTCGTCATTTAAAAGTCACCGCCACTCCTTATTTTGGGCGAAAAAGTCAAAAAGGTTACCCTACCAGGGCAGGGACTCGCCTTCCACGTGTCACGGGAGCTAGAAAATTAATGTATTTGTATTATAATAAAAAAATGAAATATTTTTTCAAAAATTTTACTGTGTAAGAGTAAATGTCAATTGAGTTTGCTAATTATAATTGAAAAAAAAAAAATACCATTACTGTCACAATCTCAAATTTTGACGATAAATATTTTAAATTCGGGACGATATCATACCATTGACGATAATATCATATTTTAGAAAAAAAATTATTAACTTTTTTTTATCTTTTTTGGCTGAAAATTTGCCAAATTGTTGCTATGCTACAGCGCAACCGCTAATTCGTTGGATGTTAAATGACCAAAACGACCATACTTCCATTTGTCATTTTTGTGCTGTGGAGGGGGAACCACTTGGCAGTGGAACGACCGTCCAATCAGTAGATGAGAGGATTACAATTTTGTGTAGGAGCGATGGGGACCATGAGTGGAGTCAAAAACAATTCAATGGGACCCCTCCTCAGTCCTCTCTGTGTTTTCATTTCTATCCCCCTTTTGTATTTTTCACTCATTATTTCAAGCGTGCCGCGCACCACCATCCACCCTAAAGCAGAGTATGCTACATGTTTCCTTTTTGTTTTTGCCACCTCAGCATCAAATATTTTCCTTATACTTCGGCTTTTGGAAGGGATCGCTTTTTGTTGGGGTTAAGTGAACCTTAAGTTAAAAAAGCAAAAAAAGGGGGAGGAATGGAATAATCCTCGAAACACCGCACTTAGCCCAGAGAAAGAAAAGGAAAAAGAAATAACACTCGAGACACCGAAGAGTCTAACCTGATTTGGTTGTTTTTATGATAGAAGAAAATAATAAGTAGATATTTGATGTGGACACTAACTTGTGAATTATATCATATGAATCGCCTTCTTGGACTCCGGTGACGTATTTCAAGTGGTTTCTTCATGGATGAACAAGTGGGAGCTAGGACATGTTTTTTTTTTTTTTCCCAATCTCCCTCTTCTCTTTGACATGGTGGTCTGAGTCTGACCATATGAGAAGAGGCATCTATCCTTAAAAAATAAAAATGGATAACAGTGGGTTTAGTTTGAACGAAACCACAGTTAGTGGAACTAAACAACAAGCATGCCTTCCCAATTCAGAGTTCTGAAATCTTCACTGGACAACCCATATTTGGACTGGCCTCTTGTACACTGGCATGAAGTCGTAAGTTTATTGTTGAAGCCCGATTAAGTTGAACGATAGGCCGGCTTGTCACGTGGCCCAGTTTACGATATAAATTATGAAGTTGGTGAAATGTCCTCAAATCGAGGAAGAAACTGTAATTGTAATGAAAAAACTAATCTTGTAATAAAAATAGAATCGTCGTATTTTTTTTTTTCTATTTTTTTATGTCATAAGTGTTGGCACTTGGCAGTATCAAAATCAAATGATAAAAATATATTTCTTGGCTTTTTGGCTAAGATGAAGTGTAAAATCAAATGATAAACATAATAGTGACAAGCAACGATTATCATATGAAGGTTCGTTGATCGAGCAGGTGCACCTGTCCAAGGGGGTTGCTCAACCATCGTTGTATTGGTCAATTTATTCTCTCTCGTGAATTCTTTCATTCAACCCAATCATTTGAAAATTCTGGGATTTTAGTACTGCCGGTGCCTTCGGTCTCTTGTATGAGGTGATTTCTAAAAAAAAAAAAAAAGGTTTAAATTATAATGTGTCTAGGTCCAACATATCATCAAGTGATGTTTCATTTTTTATTCATAATTTTAATAGATTTCTTATATTTTTTTGGCAAAAAGCAAATTATATTAAAATACTAAAATAAGGTTGCATATAACCTTTTGCAGCATGTGTAACCTAGAAGGTAAACAAGAAGTTCCAAGAATTACAGGGATATAAGAAAGAAATAGCTTTCTTATAACTTGAGCAACGCATGCTGATATATATTTTTTGAATTAATAAGGATATAATCTGAACATTGGGATATTTTTTTTTTACAAATAAAACAATCCAACAATTTTCATTAATCTACGTTAAAAATGTTTATTGAAGACACTAACCACTCACCAGACATGTTAATCAACAACGAAATTTGTCCATTAAGTAGCCAAAACCAGCTGGCTAATAAAGGATTAAGGGTGGTTGTTGAAAATAATGACTCATGCAATGATCCTGCTTCTGTTAAATTATACTTGCACGAAGAAGTTGGTGGCCAACCTCGCGTAATCAGTCAAACATCGTGCGTATATGTACTACCAGTTTAGCTGAATGCCATCATGAAAATCATCGACTAACGTGTAATGAATTAAAAAAAGAAAATGTTATGTGGCATTGCATGCTTTCAGTTTCATTCCATTCTTTTATAACAATAAAGCAGAGTACTTTCCATGTTCAACCGAAAACAGATGACCATGCTCTTATCGTATGAAAATAACCATAATAAAGTTCTGTCATGACACAAACTATAAAAATCTACAGTCAATAATTATTGTGATAATGTTGTAACTCTTGATCAGAATTTAAATCCCGGTCAAAAAAGTATACAATATTGATTATTTAAAGTTTTATTTTTAATAAATCATTTTATAATATTTAGAAATTACATCTTAAGAATGTTTAGGTTATGATAGCATAAAATAGAAGTTATAATGAGAAATATATCTTTTTTTCTTTCCAAATCCTCTTAAATTCAATAAATAATTTTACATTTTTATTTTATTAATTTCACAAAAATTCACAAGAAATTTTCTATTATTTTCATTTCATTTGGAATGCTTGTAAGTCGTTATACACGTAATTTTAATTTTTTTACCAACCTCTCTTATGATACAATATTACAGTTCATAATTTTGTTAAATTATTAATATCAATGTCAATCAACATAGCATTGAATATGATACCTACAAGACTATGACAAATTGTCATTTTAATTTTAATCAAGTTATATTAATTAAACACCACAACTTATATTCGTGTTTCTTACAGAAGAAACTAAGCATGGCTTATTTTAGACTTAACATAATGCAAGGACGGAGCCTCACCAATTTTTGTAGCCACAACGCACGTGAAATTTTTTTTTTAATATACAAACACGAAAAAATTGTTAAATATAAATAGATAACATGATTTTGTGATTAAAAAAAAAAACGGAAGTAGTTAAGTAATTTTTAAGAAAAATTACATACAGCTCCCATAAAACAGACTTATTTATTTGAAAACCACAGTCAAAGCCCTTGGAATTTGAGTATAATTTAAAATTAGGCTACAAAGATAATAATAACTTCATTAAATATGTATTACATTAATTAAATAATTAATTTATAACTATTTCATTAGCAATTTATGATTATAATTTTAATTTTTTATAACTATAATTTTACATATTTAATAGTTAAATAAACATTTTTCACTAACAAAATTTAATATTAATTATTAACAACTACTTTACTAGTAATTTACGACTATAATTTTAATTTTTTATAACTATAACTTCATATATATAAATTATTTAACTAATGCAATATATGTATATTTAATAGGAACATTATTATTATTTTTATATTAATTTTAAATTATATTTAAGTTTGACAAAATCAGTTATGATTTTGAATTTCATAAAATTTATTTATAAATAAATTTATTTTATGAGATTTATATGTAATTTTTTTAATTTTTTATTTGAAAGGCTGGGATGTTTGGAAGAGGGTTGACCGTAAAGGTTAACTATGTTCTATTTTGCGAATATACAATATAAAATATAAAAAAAGGTGCAAATTGTCATTTTCGTCAGGCCGCGCGACGCTATTAGCCTAATACACAAGAAGATTCTAGTTAGAAATAGAAAGGAATGTTCAAGAATTGAAGGTATGCCTCTATTCACAAATAAATAAACTATGCATGAAAATGATGGAAGATGTCCAACTCTCTGTGTGCCATTCAAATGAAAGTGAAGCACGAAAACAAGTGGTAGAACACAAAATTGAGAACTCTAATCCATCAAAAGAGAGCCAGCTCGTCTGGGATCTGTAATATTGATTTTCCAGTGCCCATCTGGCAATCCCTTCTTCCCAGCTTTCCTCCTTTCCCAGTTCAACTCCATCCGACGTCGTCTCGTCAATCTACAGAAACTCTGCAACTTCTCATCCATTTCGTCGTAAAGCTTCCACCACCTCCGGTGAGCCACGTCGCTCGCGTACACCCGTTGATCCTCCACATCCCAGTTACAATCATAGTCCCTGTAACAATGCCACGGCTTCAACCCTAGATAGTGAATCGCGTACAGCCTCGGCGGATCTGCCCCGAACAGCCCATTCTTCACGCTCGCTTCCAACGTCGTGTTCGCCCAGAAATTCTTCAGGAAATTCACCCTCCTCGGCAATCTGTGCCACCACACGAAGATCTCGTTCAGAAACCCTTGGTCCCCTCCATTGTAGGATACGATGTCGTGCCGGCGGTCCATCAATACAAGGAAGGTACAATTGGAAGGTTCGATGACCATGATGCCGGAGTTGAAGATGGATTGGTCGTTGCCGGTGGCGGACATTTGGGGAAAGTGGAAGAGGATGTCGAGGTTGCGTAGAACGATGATATCGGAGTCGATGAATATGATCTTATCGTAGTCGGTAAGCTGCCAGAGGCGGAATTTGCTGTAGTTGTACTCGTTGTAAGTGCCATTCGCGGCCCTGGGATTCCTAATCCGGGTGATGATTCGGATCTTCCAACCCGCATCCGCGAGGGCCTGGCGTTTGGGATCGGATATAGACTTGTCAATGAGGAGGATAAGGTCACGTTTTGTTCCGGTTTGAAGGAGGCTCTGTGCTAGCGTTATTGCTCCACAAACGTAGGATTCAGAAGAGTGAAGCACAGTGGCGTAGGCCTCGCGTTTCACTCTTGTTCCGCTTGCCACGCTTTTCTGAATCTTCGATAAGTCATACACCTCGTCTATTCCTGACAACGATTGCATATTTTGAGTCATTTTTAAAACAGCAAATAAATCATTAATACTTTTATTTATTATCTTCTTTGCTGATCTACTCCCACCATCGGTTCCTTAATTTATCTCCCCATTTTTAATCCAACTCAATATTTTCTAATAATTCAAATCAATATATTACCAAAAAATTATAACAAATAATGTTATAATCTATAATTCTGAAGTCCATATGATGTATAGAAAACTGGGTATAGTTGATATAATAAAAGAACTAAAAGGATATAATTTAAAAAATAAATAAAAAAGATCATATTGCAACAATAGCAGAATTTAAGAGAAGTTAAACGTTTTTCCTGACGACGTGGGAAACGATTTCTTAAAACTGTAAGGGTGAAAAGGGACACTAGAAACATAAGAGAGCGTCGCCGAGTTGATATGAAGCAGACATTTTATTTTTTTTATTAAAAAATATAAAATATTTTTTAAAAAGTTAGTTGTTAAAAAATATAAAGTATTTTTAATTTTTCGAGATACAATCATTTTATTTTTTTTAAAAGTATCTTATTGATGAATGATTTTATATTTATTATAGGATGTTTAATAGAGATAAATATAAAAAGATATAATTAATTTGAAAGTGAATAATTATTTTATTAAGAGATGAGATTTAATTAAAAATATTTTATATTTTTTAACGAAAAAAATATTTAATTATTTATAATATGGCATGAGAATCACGAAAACCAATCACAGGGGCAATAGTCTGATACTCTAACTTCGCTTGCTTCGTAGACAAACAAAATGATGCTAGAAAATTAGTATTATTAATCAATGGCTGCTCTACAATGATGTTGCTATTGTACCTTTTATTAATAAAGAATGCTCTATCATGAATAAATAATATAGTTGTTGGACAAAGTTCGATTTGTCAACTTCGACTATAGTTGTCGTAAAATAGTCCGATTCGCTATTCAACTTAATAATTTAATTGTAAAAAATTATTTTTAAATCATTATATTTTCAAAACTCATAATTATAAACAAATTCTACCCATTATTTTTAAAGCAAACGATATAAAAGATTTTTCCTTACAAAATATAAAAAACATAATTGATTTTTAAGATAAAAAGGTTAAAACTTTGCAATTTCTCAACGGGAAAAGGGACACAGAAAAACTCGTTATAGTTAATAGCAGACGAGACACAAACATAACCGAGCGCCTGTAGCTCAGTGGATAGAGCGTCTGTTTCCTAAGCAGAAAGTCGTAGGTTCGACCCCTACCTGGCGCGCGTATTTAAACTGTTGTTTAATGTTTTGACCTTTTTTTTTTTTTTGAGCTTCTTTACTCGTGATGGAGAAAAGGTTAAATAAGAAGAGAAAAAAGAATGGTAAGGTGAATTAGAGATTTACCTTGTTCCCAGAGGGGCAGGGCCAGCTTGCAAGATCCAACAGGCAACGACATTTTGTTCTGCAGCCTCTTCACCTCTGCCTCGTAATACCACCACTCACCTTCCTGCGTCACCAAATCGTCACACGGAAACAGCTCCATCATCGGCCTGCACTTGCTCCACAATACCACTTTGGTCTTCCAATCCCAGTCCTTCTTCCCTTTCTTCACCGCCAGCTTTGCTGCTATCAGATGAACCTGTAGCCGAAACACGTCCCTTCCCCACCCCTCTTCCGGATGCTTGCATGGCAATTTAGCCACGATCACGTCCATGCTCTCGTATGCTTCAAACTCCGGCATCGGTATCTCCGGGCACGATGGAACGTCGCTCTCTTCTTCCTCGTCTATCCATTCGGGGAACAAATCTGTCCAGTTGAACATCTGCGATACCCTGTCGAAATACACATTTATTACTTCTCCCTGTGACGTCCACTCCTCCGCATCATCTTCATCCATGTTCACCATTCCAATCTTCATCCCTTTCCCCATTTCTCGAAAGAAGCTCGGCACCTCGATCTTGCTCGCAATACCCTTTGGCCTCCGTGAACTCACCTGAGGCTGCTCCAACACGGCTTCCATTTTAATGCTGTTTTCTGCCTAGAATGTTCATAACACAATGACTCGTCGTCAGAGAACATGTTTCTGGTGCTTACCACACACACGAAGGAACAGAGAGATGAAGGTTTGAGATTTAGGCATCAGGCGCAGGTTTCTGGGATTTTTGCCACAAGGTTTTCAAATAGAAACACGATAACACGAGAATATCCACGAGACGTTTAAAAAAAGTGTGATTGTTGTCCGAAGTAAGAAAATAGAACCATCAAAGCAGGCTCACCTTACCTTGTGATGGCATTCACGCAAGGAGCACCTAACGACGGAGGCTGCATTCTCGAAGTAGATTGAAGAAGACGGCTGAAGAAGAAAGGCTGCATAGACGATCAGAAAGAAGGCAAGGAAGACCAAATTAATTCTTATTACTAAAGCTTTCGATGGTGTGGCCTTCACCATCTTTTGGAGAGCCGAACTTTCCATCCCTATAGAGTGAGAGCTGCAATGCCTGGGACGGGGACTAATGTATATATCTGAATAATTTCCCAACTTTTCAAGTTTAGAAGCAGTAGGTTAAGCATGATGATTAAAATAAGAAGGAAGGATTTTGAAGTAGTTGTTAGAGAATTGGAGCAAACCTTTAAGCAAGGCGGACCATTTATATAGCTCCATGTGTCCCCCCCTCTTCTGGAAATCCTTATTAAAAATTACCTAAATATCCTCAGGTTATCCACGTCTTGGCTTAGTTAATTCGGCCCGACCAACCAATTTCAACAATTGGGAGCTCAGCTTAGATCTGAGAAATGAAAGGGAAGGGCAGAAATGTAAAAGCAGAGGATAAATGACCGATTAAGATCGGTATTACGGGCAGGTAAGCCGGCCCGCCCAACAACTATCTGGTTGGGACGTCAACTTCAAACATGCATAGGAAGGATACTTTCGAAAATGGCGAGGCTCCACCAATTCCCGATAGACGATAAGAAGTCCTTTTTCACGTAATATTGGTCCATTATTTAAACAAAATAGGACTGTGGGTTGCGCGTCCGTCTATCAGAAGTTATCAAAATGCTTACATTACATGTTTTGCACGAACACAGCCCAGGAGAAAGGTAAACTATCACATTTCTGATCGCAGGCCATCCTCCCCTGCGATGATTAGACTAACTGAGAATGGGGCCTACGTCAAAAAGAGCCGAGGGCTATGAACCTACAAAGAGATGGGCAATGACAGTAGGTCAACCATGACTTTTAGTAGTTTGGTAAAATCATTCCCAGGTGGTGAATCGATTATTCTGACAATAGCTGCTTTTCCTCCGCCCCTGGGGGACAAGAAAAATGCCAGACAACAACAACAATAAACTTATAAAATTTGAGTCTTCAAAACAAAATGTATATAAATATCACAATCAACTCTGAATCTATTCAACTAGAATTCAGGGTCGAAGGTACGGCTATTTCGGAAATAAATATTAAGCTGTACATAACTACATATACGAGTAGAAACTAGAAACACCTTTCACATATGAAAAAGATGGTACACACAATACAAGCATTCTATCGACCTCTTATTGAAATGGATGTTAGCAGTTATGCTCTCTCACATACACAAATATCTTGAATTCCGAGGATCTGCATCAGAAAGAGTTTCTTTTAGGCATGGACAAAGGAAGAACGCAACAATTGATGGGCAGAGAGAGGTCCAGGCGTCTTACCCGCTGAAAGGTGAGAACAAAAACACCTAATTTGCTCGGGAAACAACATAAAACTTTGGTTAGCTTAAGTTGCACCCTGGATTCAGGCAGTAATTTCTTGTATGTGTTGAGAATGGCTTTTTCCGGGAGGAATAAAAATCAAATCTTCCCACCCAGAATTCCTTTCACTCATCTGCATTGGAGAAGATCGAAAACTTGGTAAGACTCAAATTATTTCATAAACTTTAAGAAGCTTAATTGTTCCCAGACAAACTACCTCCATTTTTTTAAGTACATCTTCCAAACTGCCAACCTATTAAAAGAAAAAAAAAATAAACTTCAAATGAATGATAAAAAACACAACTAAAAAATCTGCTGTAAAAAACCTACCACACCAAGTTAATTCTCATAGACATTATAATTATCTCTCACACGATCTGGATTCAACTTTATCAAATAGCTGCAAAATTATACTTTTGCGAAACACAATTCTGATTATGTATTTGTAATGTGGGTTTCACTGGGCAGGGGCTTACTGCCAAAACACCATGTACATAGTGTTAAAGAATGTAGTTTGATATATTATTCGTTTAGTTGGCTAATCCAGAGATTTAAAAACTCCAACCTGATCCCAACCTAGCTACAAATTGGGTCAGGATGCTTCGGTTGAACCTAGTTATCAATATGGCCAAGGGCATGCCACCAATTACAAGGGCACGAAGTATGTACATGCATGTTTGCGTGTATGGTCATGATAGAAAATCTGCAACCATGGGAAGAGGGTTGGGGAACAAGAGTAAGATCAAATAGCAGATCTTGATGATCAAATCCAAGAACAACAACAACAACAACAACAACAATAACAAGCCTTTATCCCACTAAGTGGGGTCGGCTACATGGATTGCAAGACGCCATTGTGCTCTATCATTTATTAAGCTTTTAGAAATATTATTAATTAAGAGATCACGTTCAACAACTTCCAAGAGTGTTCTCTTAGGCCTTCCTCTACCTCTCTTAATCGGACTCAAAGTTATATGTTCCACTCTTCTCACTGGTGCCTCCCTTGGTCTTCTTTGTACATGCCCAAACCATCTCAACCGATTTTCTACCATTTTTTCCTCAATAGGTGCCACCCTCACTTTTTCACGTATGTGCTCATTTCGAATTTTATCTTTACGTGTATGTCCGCACATCCATCGTAACATTCTCATCTCTGCTACTCCAACTTTATGCTCTTGCTGTCCCGTTAGAGCCCAGCATTCATTACTATATAACATTGCCGGTTTGATAGCAGTACGATAAAACTTTCCTTTAAGTTTATTAGGCACCTTACGGTCACAAATAACTCCTTTAGCTTTTCTCCAATTAAACCACCCAGCTTGAATTCTATGTGAAATATCTCCACTGATTTCGCCATCATTTTGAATAATGGCTCCCAAATATCTAAACTTTTCCACTTGAGGTATAATTTGATCTCTCAATTTCACTTCCAAATTATTTTCGAATAGTCCTTTACCAAATTTACAATATAAATATTCCGTCTTACTTCTACTCAGACGAAAACCTTTCGACTCCAATATCCTCCTCTATAACTCAAGTTTGCAATTAACCTCTTCTCTTGTCTCTGCTATAAGAACTATATCATCTGCGAAGAGCATACATTTCGGGATTTCTTCTTGAATATGTTCCGTCAAAACATTTAAAATCAAGTTGAACAAATAAGGACTCAGAGATGATCCCTAATGTAGTCCAATTTTTATAGGAAAATCCTTTGTTTGACCACTAGGCGTTCTTATACTAGTTTTTACCCCCTCATACATATCTTGTATGGCTTTAATATAAGCAATCCGTACTCCCTTTTTTTCCAACGCTTTCCAAAGCCCTTCTCTTGGTATACGGTCATAAGCTTTTTCCAAATCAATAAAAACCATGTGTAGATCGTTATCTTTATAACGATACTTTTCCATTAATTCCCTTAGTAGATAAATCGCCTCTGTAGTTGATCTACCTGGCATAAAACCAAATTGATTCTCAAAAATACTTGTCTCCAATCTCAACCTGTGCTCAATTACTTTCTCCCACAATTTCATTGTGTGGCTCATGAGTTTAATCCCTCTATAGTTAGTACAATTCTGAATATCTCCTTTATTTTTATAAATAGGAATTAATGTACTTCTCCTTCACTCATCAGGCATTTTCTTGGACTGTAAAATCACATTAAATAACTTAGTTAACCATCTCACCCCTTTTTCACCTAAACATTTCCACGCTTCGATAGATATACAATCAGGTCCGTTAGCTCTACCATTTGCCATTTTCTTAAGAGCTTCCTTTACCTCCTTATCACGTATTTTTCGATAGAATGACAATTTTTGTTCTCCTTCACCAGTTACTAAATCCTCCAAGTTACTAGATGAATCCTCTCCATCATTGAAAAGTTTAGAAAAATAAGTCTCCCATCTATTTTTAATTTCATCATCTGTAACTAAAATTCTTCCCTCTTCATCCTTAATACACCTTACCTGTTCTAGATCTCTTGATTTTCTTTCCCTACTCTTGGCAATCTTATAAATATTTTGCTCTCCTTCCTTCGTCTCAAGGTTCTTATAAAATTCTTCAAAAGCTTTGGAACGAGCTTCATCCACAGCTCTCTTAGTTTCCTTCTTAGCCATACGGTACCTCTCCTAATTTTCATCATTGTTACACAAATGTATGGCTTTAAAACAGTTCTTCTTATACTTGATTTTGTCCTGTACACTATTATTCCACCACCAAGACTCCTTATCTCTCGGACCAGAACCTTTCGATTCTCCCAAAACTACTTTTGCAACCTCCCGTATCTTTTTAGCCATATCCTCCCATATGATGTTAGCACTTCCCTGAGAATCCCAAATTCCTTTATCCAAAAAATTTCGCTTGAAAATATCTTGCTTCTCACCTTTTAATTGCCACCACCTAATCCTTGGTGTTACTACTTGTCGACGTTTTTGGGATTTTACTCATAATACACACATCAAGGACTAAGACCTTATGTTGTGTCGTTACAGCATCTCCAGGGATCACCTTACAATTTTTACAAAGTTTTCTATCTGTGTTCCTAACCAAAAGAAAATCAATCTGCGACCTTAAGGCTCCACTTTTGTAAGTGATGAGATGCTCATCTCTCTTCTTGAAACAAGTGTTGGCAATCTTAAAATCATACGCCAATGAGAAATCAAGAAGAGTTTGCCCTTCATTGTTTAGCTCTCCAAAACCAAAACCACCATGCACCCTCGCATACTGACCAGCTTCCCTCCCGACATGCCCATTAAAGTCTCCTCCAATAAAAATCTTTTCACTCTGTGGTATGTGTCGAATCAACCCCTCTAGATCCTCCCAAAATAATTCCTTAAGACTGGCTTCTGTCCCGACTTGCGGCGCATAAGCGCTAACAATATTAACAGTCTCACGTCCAATTATCATTTTTAAAGAAATAATTCTGTCTCCAATTCTGCTAACTTCTACAACGTTCTTCTTCCACTCCTTATCTATAATGATGCCTACTCCATTGCGTGCACTTACTTTTCCTGTATACCAAAGTTTGAAACCTTGAATATCCTTAGCTCCTTCTCCACGCCATTTTGTTTCTTGCAAGCAAAGATATTGATTTTCCTTTGAATCATAACCCCTACAACCTCTACAGATTTACAATTTAATGTCCCAACATTCCAAGTACCAAATCTAATTTTGCTCTTATGGACTAACTTCTTTAGCCGCGTGCGTCCAGAATGACGCGGTAGCCCTTGCTCATTTAACACTACATCCAGGCGCCGATGCAGCGGCTCTAACTCACTTATCACTGTATTCGAGCCATGCAGCGCGTTACTTATGGGCAACGACCTAGCATTAACATTATAACGTCTATTGTCCATGTTCATGATAGATTCGACAAATTTTTACATTGACTGTTGATAGCCTAACACAACCCTCTTCCTTTACCTGGGCTTGGGACCGGCTATAAACATAGGCGGAGTTGATCAAATCCAAGAACAAGAACCTTAATTTCATTTAAAACAGATCTTGCACAAAGGTGAAGATGCAGAATCAACCCTTTTTTTTTTTTAAACAAACAATGTGAATAATCAATTCCAATTTTTCAAAGATAAAATTTGTAGGGCCTCATCATGACGATATAAATCGACATGCAAATTTCATAGCATGCTACAAATCATGCAAATCATTTCTTAGAATTAAAACCATTTCCAAGCTTCTGACAGTCTCACATACTCAAGGAAATAAGGAAGTAGGATGGCAGATTTTATACCATAATATGCTGAGAAATTCCTGGTCCTCTAGATGCCCTAGACACCTTAGACAGTTCCTTCTCAATATCTTCCTGTACAGTTAAACAGTAAGAGATAACATCTATATGATATAATTCCATACATCCAGGTACCAATTGATGTCAAGACAATTTAAGCGAATCCATGAAGAAATTAATGGGTGCAACAAACCTTTGAGAAGTATACGGGACAGTATCGCTTGTTCTTCTTCTT